TTCCATATTCTCTTAATTTAATGTTTCCACAACAACAATGGTTTCCTTATTTCTTTTTTTCGAACATATTGTGTTTTTCAGTTTCTTTCTATATATATATTCGTGAAAATTAAAAATTTATTGATATTAATAGTAGACAATAATTAAATTAATTTCTATTAAAAATATCAAAAAAATTGTTTGTGAAAATTTACTATGTTTCTTGTCGAATTTTACTCACATTTATTATTATTAAAAAGGGTAATTAATAAAAAACTATGAAATAAAATAATAGTTAATTTAAAATTGATATATAAATTAAAGTAAGTGAGAAACATGTGAAGCCCACTAAAAGAAACTTTTTGAAGTTTATGGTTATTGGAGGTTTGTGATATTGAGAGTAAGAATAAGGTTTAGATGATGTGGAGTATTGGGAATGTAAAAAGGAAGGTTTATAAACGTTAGCCATTAAAGATGCTCTTATAGGCTAATTAAATAAGCTATAAGCTAGCTTATATCATTATCAAACACAGCGTTGATATTGATCACTATCGAAAACTTCAAATTCCTTTTGTTGTTTAAAAATATTGACTGTTCGCAATTCATCATCTTAGATAGAGTGTCAGAAACCAAAGAGGGAAAGAATGTTGAAACTATATTTTTCTTAGATAAGAGATTGTGCAATATTTTTTTTTTTTTTTTCATTTTGTTTGTTTTCACGAAGCACCCGGAAAGGTGGGGGATTGAGGCCTCAAGGGATTGTGAAATATTTAAGTAACAAGAATTTAGACTTGTCAATCATTCTACACAACCATATGATGTCTTCTTCATACAGAAGACTAACTGAGCTCAGCACTGGCGCAGTGGCGCTTTCCTAAATAGGGAAAGCACAACTTCATATAGAAAATTTACTCTCTAAATCCATTCAATTCAAAATACTAAATTTGAGGCAAAATTTCAAAAATGGTCCATTATGTTGGCTATTTTCCGAAAAAGGTCCATCATATTGGCATTTGTACGAGTTATGATTAAAAGTGACAATTTAGTGGACCATTATTGATGACACCCTATATGATGGACCTTTTTCGAAAAATGGTCAACATAGTGGACTAAAAATGAAATTTAGCCGACCGAGCAGAATTAAACGAAGTCGAATATTCACAGTAGGAACCACCCAAATGCCTCCTGCATACTCTCTCAAAAGTCACATCCTGAACCTGACGTGAACGTGTTCAAACACAAATCCTGAAATCCCGAGTCTGTGAAAAATTCATACACACTTACGCAAGAAATAATGGGCTAATGTTTTCATGAGTAACGAAAAGTACCAACATGTAACAAACACGAGAAAGAAAATATTGGAATAATGCCAAAGTATCAATAAATTTTTATCACTATTTTTATTCTCCTCAACCATTAAATAACATTTTTTTCATTTCTATAAATTTTAGACATGAATTGATTTTGCATGTCACACAAACAATCACATTGGACTATGACAACGTCGGAGAAAGCTATAGCATAAGATGATTTTATTACCTATTTTAATACTCTCTCCATCCCAATTCTTTAGTTCGATCCATGACATCAGTCCTCTTTTTTTTTTCTTCCAAAAAGTTTCATTTGTTAGTTCAAGATGTCATTCATTCATTTTTCACGTAATATACCCCATTTTGTGATGCAATTTTCTACGTTTCAAGTCAATGTGGAGTGGACTGTGGAGTTGTGTAAGCAAGGGTACAATAAGTTTGAATATCTTTTGGACTTTAAGATGCAACGTGAATTCATTTCCCAATGTGCGAAAATGAGAACTGTGACGACCAAAATGTGAGAATATATCAAAATACTCGTGCACTAGACATCCTGCACAAATAGCAGTCACATTCTGAAACATAGATCACCACCAATCGACATCTTGAATTCGAAAATATTTTCTATTTTATGGTTAAGGAAAGTAGGAAAACGTTATAAAATTCAATAAGTACCTTGAGGTGTTCGAGATTTTCCGCTCCCTGCATTAGTTAGATGTCAGTGTCCTTACATTTGAGAATAAAAGTATAACACTTCTTGTATGTCATCCCAGAATGATGAGGTATTTTGAAATTATCCAACTCCAATCACAGAATATTGCATGACCTATAAATTGAAACAAAGCCTGTTAATTAGTAAGAAGAATTTTTATTCAAGGGAAAAAAAATGGCACTAGCAATGTATCTCCTCCACTGTGTACAATCTTGTCAAGTAACTTCCTCTGCAAATTATTGTTTAATAACTTCCTGAGGACCATGTAGAATACATACCTAGAGTAATTTGATAGGCAAATGTGTTAATTTTATTCTGACAGCTATAGCTCCCATATACATTCACAGATTCCAAATTTTCGGATAGCAATTAATCAAATGCTTGGTTGAACCACAAATTGGAATTTTGGATCTCTCAGCAAACGAGGTCATAAAAGACTCCTATACAGTGTCACTAGTTGGCAAGTGCATATACTGTCAAGGAACTGTCAAGAAAATGACTAATTAAAGTTGCATAAACTTTTAACATCAAGTTTCAAACTGCAGATTATGGAATTTATAAACTTTTTAGCTTTTATAATTCCTCAAGGAAGTACTCGTTGAGGGAATATTAGATGAACTGTTTAAGGCTATTGCAAGTTCAATTTGCCGGAAAGAGCTACTTGTGTTTTAGAATGAAGTCTTTTAAATGCATAAAATTTCAATTTGGAAGCTTTACAATCAGATTTGAAGGAAGTAAAGGAAATTATGTGGTTATTATATATCATTTGAAGATCTCCTTTACTTGTTACTAGTAGTAACAAAAACACCCGTTTTAATAGAGAAATTTATATTTAAATTTTTTGAGATATTTTAAATTTAAAATGCTTCTTAAGAAAAATTAGTGTTTTTTTTTTTTTTTTTTTTTTTAAATGACAGTCCCCACACATAATTCTTGATAAAGATATATATACTTATCTTTTATTTAATATATGTAATATGGATGTCAAATCGAAAATCATCAAAAGATGATTAATCATCTCATATATGAAAAAGTTATAACAAATAAAAATTTATCAATCTTAATATAAATTTAAGTTGTCCAAGTGGTTTATATAATTTTAAAAGTATCAATAGACATTGATACGAATGATCTCCTTTACTTATGAATTGTTCTTCGGTCAATGTTTCATGACAAGACATAAACGAATCAAATTATAACTTTAAATAATGTGATGCCTAAAAGTATAAACACAACCTTGCATGCATGTGATTCATTATGTCAGATGCAAGTGAAGATATGGTTATCTTTCTTACTATCAAAATGTTCTATAGAAACATATGGATTGTAAAGCACATTTCAAGTTTGCATGTTTAATGTTTGGACTTAGTAGTCAGTATAATTTTAAATTTGAATGTAAATTACTTTTGTTGACATGGAAAAAACACCACGTAAATTTTCAATCCATCATTCCCATTCAATGTTTAATGTTTAGACTCAGTAGTCAGTATGATTTTAAATTTGAATGTAAATTACTTTTGTTGACATGTAAAAAACGTCACTTAAATTGTCAATCCATTATTCCCCTTCAATGCAGTCTGCAAGCACTGACGATAAACTGTTTCGCTACAGTCCATTAAAATACTTTGAAATTAAACCACTAACCTTAGAGGGCCACTTAAGTCTTTGCATGGTTCAAATGTTCCAACCCAATGCTCAAAATGGCAACAGTAGTCAGTAGGCATGGACTGTAGCCTTGTATGCTACGTGCTTTCTGAAAAGTTACATATGACCTGGATATGCTCTGGTTATCAGTTTATTTCAACAAACAAAAATAGACACATCCTCGTTCATAAGAAGTGCCCATTAAGAGATTTAAGAAAAAAAAATCACAACTTTCAATTGATCCTAAGTTTTCTTTTTCCTTTTTTTTTATATATATATATGAGTCATATAATATGACCATTACAATGTTCTTTAAAATACGTCCTTCTGAATTAATTACAAGGTTAGCATTTGCTTTTTTATTTACAGTTTAATATTTTTTCTGGTTTTAGAGTTTCATATTTATAGTTAATAGCAAAATTAATTATGTTCATTTATCTTTGTAACTAACATTTGGATCTTACTACTGCCTTCATTTCGTTCTATCTGCCATAGTCTTTGCACACAAGATTAAAAAAGTAATTTATGTTGTATTATTCATGCCTAACTTTATTTACCCCAGGCAATCAGCAATGCACTTATACATTGTTCAAAAAGCAGAGGTAAAAATAAAAATAGCAATTAACGAAACGTCATTTGAGAAAGTGATGGATAGAACGAAACAGGATGGAGGGAATAAATCCTCTAAACAACAAAATTATATATAAAGGTAAAGGAAATTACTTTTGCACCCCAAGATTTTCCTACAACAATTCCAATACAAAAATACTGTAACCACCCAAAATAAGCAAATATAAATTGCAAGCCCGCTTTAACTACAGATACTAGAGAAAAGGAACAATTACTAAAACCACCTTATCAGCTTTTGCCTAATGACAATGAAACCTAAGTTATCTTCAAAGTTATAAATGATCCCTTCGACATTTATCTTCTTATCTAATAAAAGTGCATCCTCTAGAGGTCGAAAAGAGGCTCTGTGTAGGGTGACCACACAACTTCAGAGATTATTTGAAGATTTAACAATAAACGAGAATTTTGAAATAAAACTAAACTTGAATCGGAACTTTTGAAACTAACCCAAAAATATAGTTCCATCGTGTCTAAGCTCCCAGCCCTGAGAGTCCTGGGGTGACTTCTATTAGTATCATCTAGTCTTGTGTTAGTAAGGTAAAAGTTTCTCTAACAAATCGTCTGCCATACACATGTATGTCCTATAAGATTTTTCCCAGCTATCAGCATACATGATATTGTTTGCGCATGTGATCCTGAGCTGGATCACTTAGCAATCAATTTCAGAAACAATTCTCTATATTTAATTTTCTTCATTGTTCTTCCAGAAAAAGGATACCTTTAAATCATGTGACTGCATTTTCTGGTGGATTGCCAGGTGACCCTGACATGCGTGCTCGGTTCATAAGATAAGCATATGTTCCCTGAGTTAGCTTTAGGCCTCGTTTCACCATATGAACATGAAACTCAAAAGCCTTCTTAAACTCTCCAGCAACACAGCACGTACATATCAAGAAATTATAAGCAATCCCATCAGGCTTAATATTCATGTCTAGCATGGATTCCCACAACTCGAAAGCTCCTTGCAAATCACCCCTTCTACAATATTCGTAAATAATAGTTGAATAACTTATACAATCTGGAGATATCCCATTACTCGTCATCTCAGCCAACATGTGACGAGCTTTCTCAACTTGGCCCTGCTTGCAAAAGCCTCTAATTATCATATTGTATGATACGGTGTTAGCAAGAAACCCTGCAAGCATCACTTTATGAAGCCTTATAGCATTTGCCATGTTCCCTTCTCCCGTGAGATGATCAAGAAAGCACCCGTATGTGACCTCATTAGGAACTAATCCACTAATCAACATTTCCTTGCATAAGATCAAGGCCTTATCGACAAAACCTGTCTTACAGAGACTATTAATCATAGAGGTATATGTCACGACATTCGGCTCAATCCCTTCAGTGGCCATAATACCCCAATGAGCCATAGCCATTTCGAGATTCCCGCTTTTTCCAAACTTGTCGATCATACTAGTGTAGACAACATTATCTGGCCTCAATCCCCGGTCATGAATCTCCTTTAGAATATCCACCAACAATTTTGTATCCTTTTGTTCTAGAATTCCTCGAATAATTATGGCATAGCACACGAGATCCATGTCGACACCTCTTTTTCTCATCTCTTCACGAGTACTCAATGCATCTTTCAGCCTTCCCTCATTGCAATATCCGTGTAGAAGTGCAGAATAACACAACTCGTTCAACTTACAATGCTTCTCTTGCAGATGATCCATGAAATCTTTGGCTACGGACACGTCACCCGTATAGCAAAGCCCGGTTATTAACGGCCTATACGTAAATGTATCTGGTGAAAGACCCTTCTCCACCATCTCATCAAACAAATGAAAGGCTCTCTCTACATTACCTACTTTGCAGTATCCTTCAATTAGAACATTATAGGTTACCTCATTAGGAACAACGTTCATTTCCGCCATTCTGTCAAACATATTACATGCATCGGCCATCCTATTCACATGACAAAGACCACAGATGAGTGCCGTGAATGTATTCACATTTGGGGAAATCCCTTTGGTCGTCATCTCGTGATATAGCCTGAATGCTTCATCAATTTCTTTTTGCTTACAGTAGCCATCAATCAACAATGTGTATGTCACAACAGTTGGCCACAGACCTTTTTTATTCATTTCGGCAACGAGCTTTGTGGCCCCACTCAGCTTTCCCAACTTGCATTGCCCACTGATCAACATGTTATATGTGTAAACCGATGGTTCTATTCCAGAACTAAACATTTTAGCAAGAACTGTCAAGGCTTCATCTACTTTCCCCCTTTTGCATAATGAGCCAATTATGATATTATAGCTCACATCATTTATTACCAACCTCTTTTCTGTCATCTTCACGAACAGCAGCATTGCCTTCTCCAACTTGCCATCTTTACACAAATAGTGAACCATAGCATTACAAACATATATATTAGGCACTACACCAAGTCTCCCCACCTTATCAATCAAATCATAAGCACTGGAGATTTCCTCTTTTCTCCTCAACCCGTCAACAACAATCGATAAAGCCTCCTCACTAGGAAGAATCCCATGTTCAACCATCTCATCCACCAAGCCTCGAGCAAATACAAACTCATTTACTCTACAAAATCCCAAGACCAACGTACAGTACGTGACAACATCAGCTCTCAAACCCTTTGAATCTAACTTTCCCTTAATCTCAGCAGCCTCCCATGCTCTTCCGCCCTTACATAGCCCATGAATCAACACATTATATGCAACCACATTCAACTTGCACGCCCCATTATTCTCAGCCCAGTTAACTAATTCCTTTGCCCGATCGTAATCCTTCAATTCGCACAAGCTCCTAACCACAGCAGCATAAACATAGACGTCTGGCTTCAGCCAGCCACCCACGAACATTTCATCAAACAAGTCGAGCACCAGTTCAAATCTCCTAATTCTGATCAAACCATTTAACACGGCACTGATTGTCCTAACTTCCGGAAATAAACCATGCTCCTTCATTGACTTCACAATCACAACCGAGTCCAGAACTCGTCTGTTTTGAACAAAGCTTTGAACAAGTAAATCAAACCCATAGGTTGAATGAAGACCGAGCCTATTATAGGAGTGGAACAAATTCTGGAAAATGGAACCAAGATCCTCCTCCTTTCTTTCCAAAAGGGTCTCCAAAAGCGAGGACGCAGGCCAGTAAAGCTTCGACTGGACTAATGAGTGAATCAGCAAGCAAAACGACGCCGTGGAGTGGCGGAATTTCTTGTGAAGGCCGAGAAAATTAAAAAAGCGGAGGGCTAACCTGGATTCATTGATATTCTGGAGAATGAAACTCTCAATGTGAAGTGGGTGTAGGCGAGTAGAAATGGAAGGATTGTCGAGAGCGGCGGCCCAGCTCTGGTTACCGCGTATGACGTCGTTCAGCACCGGCAGGAAATTTTCATCATCATCTTTGAGGCGGCGGGGTTGGGCTGCGGGAACCGGTTTGGACAGGGGAAAGAGGTTCCGAATGCGAGGCTTCATTTTCCATAAGATATTTTCAGATGCTCTTTGGCAAGCGAGGTTTGGAGAAAGCACTTCCGGTATGCATTTCCGGTGACTGAAGTACTGACACTTCAGTCAATTTTATTTGCCTACACAAATTTTCAACTTTTAAATAAACTTTTGGAATTTATCAAGTACAACCTAATCTCGTCTTTCTTATATTTGCAACCGAAACCCAAAATAAAACAGTGTTTTGCCAGCGGGGTGGGTTATTTTTTTAAAAAAATATAAAAATCTGTGGCAAAAAATAAAAAAAAAAAAAATAATTATGGAAAAAAATCAAACGGACGGATTCTGAAAATCCGTGTTTCTAATTAAAATTTTTAACCAAAACACGGATTCTTAGAATCCGTTTTTATTTTACATTTAATTTTTTTTTTTTAAAAATGAAAGTCGAAACTGTCGGTGGATTTTAATATTAATACTGGACAACGCGGATTACCAAAATCCGTGTTACGTTTAAAAAAAAAAAACGATTAACACGGATTGTGAGAATCCGTGTTTTGGTCAATATATACAACTGCATACTGCTCCCCCAACCACAAATCATTCATCAATCCGAATTTTTTTTCTCACAAATCATTCATCAATCCGAAATTTTTTTCTTTTTTCTGTTCGGTTTTTAAAGACAATCGGGGAAGAGGTTAGTTGTTATTTTAATGTAATGTAGTATTATGTTTTTGTTGTTTATTAGAAGTATATTTGGTTAATTGAGTATTGTTTAGGAAATCTTGAATATTGATTTAATCGTTGTGTTAAATGATTATAATTAGCTATTGTATGATGGGTTTTTGTTGTATGTTGAATATGTATCCGAATTGTTTATAAATTTGATGTTATTGTTGGATTATGATGATTAATTAGGTATTGGTAGTGATTATGATTTTGTTGTATGTTGAATATTTATTCGAAATTTTTATGAATTTGATGTTATTGTTGGGTTATTGTTGGATTATTGTTAGATTATTGTTGGATTGTGGTGATTAGGGCATTTGCTATTGTTTTTTAATTGGAATAAAAATATGATTAATTTTTTTTTTTGTGCAACAGGTTATAAATGGCGTCTATAGGTCCTTATTTTGTTAATGTGTACTGGAAAATTCCTCAAAGTGAGTTAGGGAATTTTTCGAATTATTTGGCTCGTCCGGATTGTTCATTTATTATTAATGACAGAATATCATAGGAACAATTGGTAGATATAATTTACGAAAATGGTGGATTTCGTGATAGTTGGACAATTTCGAATATTACTTTCATGGTCCAACAACCGGATGGGTCGTTTATTCCCGTAAGA